TCAGTGATAAAAGAGTTGATGTGTAAACGGCAATATAACGAGAGCGTCATTGATTTCAATGGACACAGTCATCACTAGGTGGTCCCATATTTTTGAAAGGATGCTCTTCAAGTTTATGAAGTCTGACCGAGCAATGTTCATTAATGAATACCGTTCGATAATTCAATAGACGATTCACAGTGTAAACCGGTTCGACGAGTGTGGTCCAAGGAGAGAGCGTTCATTCAACGGGGGTGAACAATAAATTATTGCATCGAACGTATACCTCTAAACAATGATATTTGCACTGTTCTGATTACATGGTTCATTGTACTGACTTATTGTAAACGCAACAGCCAATTTATTTCACCTCGAACAAATTCGATTATTCTGGTTAGATTTATTACAACTTTCAACCGTTATGAATTGAGCATAAAATTAACTTACATAACATGAACGTCAAAAATGTGGTCAACTTTTTATCTCCTCAGAGTGGAATTTCTTAGAAATGCTTACCGGTTATTAGAAGCGATTATCGATTATTAGAAATGCTTACCAATTATTAGAAATAGTAACTTCATTCTTGAAACGATGTTTAAAAAAATTCTGGCATCTCGGCTAAATAGAAATCGTTACGATGAACATTAGTCATTATTGATCCGCCGGATTTATTGCAGCCGATATGCAATCAGGATCGCGTTTCTTGCGGCGTAAACAAGAAAGCATTCTCTCCAGACGTTATCTAACTGCGAGAAATCTAAGAGTTTCGTTTCACTTCATGGCGAGTCACCATAAATCAAGGCACCACTCGTATTATCGTCCCTATCATGGCCACATCAGGTTCACAGATCAATGGAGCATACATTCATAATGTGGTAAATTAACGAATTCCATATATGATTTGATAGTCTACGCAGAAGTGACTGTACCTTCATAACTATTTCATTTTAATACTGTTATCCATTATGAAGTCATAAATAGTATCTTAATAATTCATGTGAACATACGTGAAAATTAGAGTGGTATATTCATAAGAACCACTAATTTTGAAACACTCTGTAGGAACATCAAAAAGACATAAATAATATACAAATCATTTCTATGAAGATATGTGAAAATTGTCTAATAAGATGTCCATTTTAAAACATCCTATATAAACATCAAGTATCACTCATTTTGATGCATCCTGTATAAACATCAAGAAGCTACATATGTATATACAATATCATTAATTCATATGAACATATGTGAAAATTGTTTACTAAGATGTTCTGAAGTACCGTCCATTTTAAAACATACTATACAAACATCAAGTATCACTCATTTAGATGCATCCTGTATAAACGTCAAGAAGCTACATATGTATATACAATATCTTATTAATTCATATGAACATATGTGAAAATTGTCTACTAAGATGTTTTGAAGTACCGTCCATTTTAAAACATATTATACAAACATCAAGTATCACTCATTTTGATGCATCCTGTATAAACATTAAGAAGCTACATATGTATATGCAATATCTTATTAATTCGTATGAACATATGTGAAAATTGTGGACTGACATATTCACATATGTCACTCATTTTCATGCACCCTGTATAAACATCAAGAAGCTACATATGTATATACAATATCTTATTAATTCGTATGAACATATGTGAAAATTGTGGACTGACATATTCACATATGTCACTCATTTTCATGCACCCTGTATAAACATCAAGAAGCTACATATGTATATACAATATCTTATTAATTCGTATGAACATATGTGAAAATTGTGGACTGATATATTCATATGTATCACTCATTTTGATGCACCCTGTACAAACATCAAGAAGCTATATGAATACAATATCTTATTAATTCATATGAACATGTGTGAAATTTGTGGACTGACATATTCACATGTGTCACTCATTTTGAAGCACCCTGTATATACATCCAGAAGCTATATATATACAATGTCATTAATTCATATGAACACACGTGACACTTGTGGACTGACATATTCACAAGTACCATCCATTTTAATGCACCCTGTACAAACATCAAGAATCTACATTAAGAAGCCATAACCTAATAATTCCTATGAAAATATATAAAAATTATAGAGTGACTTAGAAGTACCTCTCATTCTGATGCAAACCTGAACAAATACCATCTTAATAATTCCCATCCAAATAATATTCTAATAATTTCCATGAAGCTACATAAAAATTGTATTAGTGACAAAAGTACTATCCAATTTGGTGCACCCTGTACAAATACCATCCCTATAATTGTCATCCAAATAATATCCTAATAATTTCTATGAAGCTACATAAAAATTGTATTAGTGACAAAAGTACCATCCATTTTGGCGCACCTGTACAAATACCATCCTAATAATTCCCATCCATATAATATCCTAATAATTTCTATGAAGCTACATAAAAATTGTATTAGTGACAAAAGTACCATCCATTTTGGTGCACCTGTACAAATACCATCCTAATAATTCCCATCCAAATAATATCCTAATAATTTCTATGAAGCTACACGAAAATTGTATAGTAAATGGTACTAGTATAGTGAAGTACCATTTTGAAGCAGCCTGAACCAATACAATTCTAATAATTCCCATCCAAATAAAATCCTAACATCCATGAAGCTGCATGAATTAGAAGTACCCATTTTGAAGCACCCTGCACAACATAGTGAGCGAAAGGGTGAAGTCCTGAAAGACTTATGGTGTTCCATAGGAAACAAGATCCAGCCCTAACCGTTTGAATTGTCTTCGCGCAGTCATCAATCAATGACAGCGTCGAGACACGCTTTCTTAATGCCACGCCGCCATTGCTAAGCAAAAATGAGGATTCTTCGCTGCCAATCTGGGTATCCCTTACGCAACAGGTGGCAGTTGAGTGCTGGGATCCCCCGTGAAGCTCCGTGGCAAAAGTCGACAGAAGATGTTGTCTCTGTACATCTCTATAAGTGTCCAAGCAAACGTGAGAATTTCTATTCAACTACCCATCCTTGATTTTCCGTTTAAATTCTTCGCTTTATACTAATACAGATATTTAATATACCTGCTAGGTGATTCAATCACGGTCTATCTACGATCTGGTAAATTATAGGCAATAAATTAACCCGTGATGCGTGCTATTGCCTAATACTGTGGAAAATAGCAGGGAAACTTGCACGGAGTTCCGCGTTAATTTACCGCGTTTTTTTTTCGGCTCGGATGCGATTTATGCAAACCACCGTCTCGCCGGGGATCATTTCTGGAGCAACATGGTGTAATTGATTGCTCGCTGTGCCCTGATTTCAGTGCACACTTCCCTGTGGAAAATCGGTGCCCGCTAATGGAGTCTCTTGCAGAGTCCAACACGGTAATTTAGAGATGTCTATGGATTATTAAGTGGCCGGTGTGTGAGGTACCAGCTTGGGAGGTTTGTATCATTATTGAGAATGTTATACTAATTGATGGACTACTTGCACAAATCGATTATAATTCCCTGGTAAAATATTTAAGTTCACATGCGTAATGACCTAATATCATCATCATCATTTATTTGATGTATATTGTCTATATTGTCTATATTGCATATATTGTTTATATTGCCTATATTGTCTATATTATCTATATTGCCTATATTGTCTATATTGTCTATATTGCATATATTGCCTATATTGCCTATATTGCCTATGTTGTCTATATTGTATATATTGCATATATTGTATATATTGTCTATATTGCCTATATTGTCTATATTGTCTATATTGCCTATATTGTCTATATTGCATATATTGCCTATATTGCCTATATTGCCTATATTGCCTATATTGCCTATATTGCCTATATTGCCTATATTGCCTATATTGCCTATATTGCCTATATTGCCTATATTGCCTATATTGCCTATATTGCCTATATTGCCTATATTGCCTATATTGCCTATATTGCCTATATTGTCTATATTGTATATATTGCATATATTGTATATATTGTCTATATTGCCTATATTGCTTATATTGTCTATATTGCCTATATTGTCTATATTGCCTATATTGTCTATATTACCTATATTGTCTACATATGTCTAAACTAATCTACCCTAATCTGAATTAGTCTAAGAAATATAAAATCAGAATTACGCAACGCTGAACTAATGAAAGTCTAATGTTGCAACTCATAAATATCTAAACTCTGTTAAGTAGATGTTTAAGTTATGTCTTAATCGATGTAGATTTTTGAACCGCGTCAAATTGCTATGAAATGGAGGTTACGTAACTGGATATTCCAATCATGGGGAAGTATGGAGAACATTATCACAGTAAGGAAACTAGCATGCACTCTGAATAATAACTTTGATAAACTGAAAAATAGCTTGAACTCGATACATCTCCATTTTGTACCTTAATGATCGGACAATTGCAGTTTATTAGAAAGTGGTCTAAAAATAACGAGGAAAGTTTAAATGTGCTACACGGTGATTCAAATCTAACACTACCAGGTAAAATAAAAAATTAAGAACCTATGCGAAGTGTCCACATTATGGATACGTACGTAATAATTAGCAACCCACAAGTTCCCGTATGACAAATCAGGCGTAATGACAGAGAAACTTGTTTTTTAATAACTTGTTTTTCCTGTGTGTCATACATTTTCCAGAAACTTCAACTTTTAAAGATAGTTTTATGTTAAGGACACTTTTAGTTTGATGTCATCTGAAGAAGTAGGACTTCAGAATTTTATTCTTGAATAATTTTTAATAAATTACTATAATTTGTCAGTAATCAAACTATACTTTTGTCAGAGATGTCGTTTTAACAAGATGTTGATTATTTCATCTGCACGCAAGTCTTTGAACAAGTCACATTTTAATGATCCTCCGTTTGAGGAGCTACTTGGTGAAGTTACAGACTTAATGATAGACGTAGTGAATAAAATAAGATGGAGAAAGTTTATGAAAATATATGACCTGAAGAGTGAGGTCCTTTAAGAGTTATAACGGTATATGAAGACAAACCTGAGGTATCCCGCTTCGATCCCCGCAGGACGAGTCTTCGTTCGACGACCTCTGGGCACTTGTGCCCGCGGATGGACGGCAGGACGAGCTATCTGTCCCTGGAAGCACGCAGGATCTCGCGCATGTTAACGCACGCAGCTCGCTGTTCACGGACACAATTCATTCTGTCCCGATGCACGTGAGTGCACTCATCCTCGATCGATCCTTGATGAACCTGAGCCACCGGTTTCTACCTCCTTGGGATAGATCGGTATCCACCTGGAGATATCGCGTCACCGGACTAAACAACACTTTCTCTCCGCGCCGTCACGAAAATAACCACAAACGAACACGTCCTTTTACCGATTTCTTCCAGTCACGAATTCCTAGGCCGCAGAAAACCGGCACGTGCCACCTGAAAGACAGACTCTGGACCAACACTCTAAGGGCTAGAGTACCTGGCGAGTTTCGGAAAGGACGATTAGCTCGATGTGGACCCACTTTACACTTCTTCAAAATTTTCGTAGAACTCGCGGGAAAATTCGGGTTGAACACACGGAGACACAACGGGGGATTTGTCAACCTCGCTCCGTGGAAGCGGTCGTCAGACTAAAGTCGTTCCACTGGAAACCGAGTACGTGCATGGGTTTCTTATCCCTCCTGTTAGCTCGAAATCTCGCCATCTTGCTCTCGCTCGTGCACTTCGAGAGTGAATTCGCTCCCTCTCGCTTCACTCCGTTACCGACTGGGGAAGGGATACCAAATCCAAGGATACGAATTAAAAAAGCTCTTTTGGTCGAATCTTCGAAAATTTTCAGATACTTTCTTTCTTCTGGGTTCAATGTCGCCGGAGTGTCATCTTCGCGAGGTTACGTGCGGTTAGGTTAGGTCATCTTCGTGAGCTGTCATTTGATAAAGGACCTCACTCTTCAGGTCCTATATAGGTTCACCGAATAATTCTGCATCAATGGACTTTATTTTTTTTTAACATTTGAGGTTATGTACAATGATTACAATGATTGTTATATTCTATTGCTGACACTTATATCATAAACAGTGATGAGTTGCTATAAAAATTTACTCTTTAAGTAAAAAATCAAGGTTAGGTTCTTCAAATGGGACGATGTATTTTTAACTTGATGGTATGATTGATATAAAAATAGTAAACGAATAAAATCTGTAGTATGAAATACTACATACATGCACAGTATATCAGAAAAATAAAAGAAACATTGATTTTGGCTAAGCTACTCTTTAAAGCATCCGCCATCTTTAATTTTTGTCATCGAACTTCGAACAGCTTGTGAAGCAAATTGAACTAAATAAAAATTCTTATGCATTAATTATGAATGCTGATATAATTTATTCACTTAGCAGATGTGTACATAAAGATATTCTTTCGTGACATGAAGAAATAATTCGCAATCATCCAAAAAATGGCAATTTGTCATTCTCAAATTACAGAGCACAGAAAGCTGAGGCACAAATAAGGAGAAGGGTCGTATTCGAAAAAAGTGTGATAACAGGAATTACCAGAATTGAGTGTTCGCTTTTCAGCAGTTAATCATTGCATACGGAGATAATAAGGGGAGAGCGAAAGGCGAGAAGAGAGATCGACATGTTACGCACGAAATACCCATCGAGCAATTTTTCACACGCAAAAACATGCTTTCAGTTAAATTTGATGATCGGTTTTAGCGATGGTTACCTTGGAATTGAGATGTAGATCGCTAACGAAATCGTTGCGATAGAAGATCGTGGGTTCGGCTGAAATTTTCGGACCTACAATTACAGAATAGAGGTCTATGATTTTGTAGATTGATTATGCAATTTAAGGGATTGATTTGAAGTTCTATCGAATCGATCGTAAACGCCTCCAGCGACAAATAGCAGAACAATAGATCGAAAAGAAAACGGCATTCAGATCTCGCTGGAATTCATACTTTTCTATGGACGGTATATAAATCGGCACGAAAATAGAATAGACAGGAAGGTGAAGAGAAAGAGAGTGTGCCAAGAATCAGCTGAGAAAAGTGCGAGGGAAAAGTGAGCTGGATGGCCTTCGCGACAATCCACATTTACTTCTTGTTTCGCTTCTATTAGGTTCTATTCATCAAATCTCCAAATTCCCAAATCGACAACTTCCTTGCGACTTTCTAAATTTTCCCGAATTCCAAAATGAAGGGGGAGATAATATCTCTACCCTTGGTTGCGTTCGAATAAGATCCAATTGCATCCAGAACAGATGTCGAGACCAGTAATTAAAATATCGGTCTAATTACAACAAATCCGACTACTGTCCACGCGTAAAAAGAATCCGATCCGGCTACAGAAATCGGTGTTCTCGCATAGAGGGTTCGCATTAAAGCTGGCAGAGAAAGGCGGCCACCCACTGGCTTACACAACTTGCTCTAGTTATTAGTGTGTGACTGTTTTACGGGCCGTGGTTTTGTCATTCATCTCGAGACTTCGCTGCTGGTTAAACGAGTAACATTTTTTCTACACATCGCTTAACGAGTTAATTCCAAAAATCATTAAGCAAATCGATCTCCGAACACTATTGATCTCGATTAAATCGTCAGGAGACGAAACTCCAATGTCATCCGTGGTTGATTAATGATCACGTGCTCGATGAAAGTGTTATCATTTCACAATGCCACGTAACAGCCGGCTATTGTCATCGTAACTATCTACGTGCTACCAGAACCGACTGACACAACAATACCGGGACCATGGGCTGTGCATAAAATTAACTGGCTCTCTGTCGTAACTTTATTGCTGACCGTACCTCAACTCGTAGAAAAGCGATCATAATTATAGTGTTTGTTGCAGTCGGATCTTTCAGGGACGATGGATTCATTTGGGTTTGAGGAGTGTGATTCTGGGGTGATTTTGGACATTGTCTGGTTGGAATTGTTGGTACTAAAATGTGGTACATAATTGTGCATCATACATGAATATCATACATGAATATCATACATGAATATCATACATCAATATCATACATTAATATGCTACATTAATATGATACATCAATATCATACATTAATATCATACATCAATATCAAACATTAATATGATACATTAATATTGATACCTTAATATGATACATTAATATCATACATCAATATCAAACATTAATATGATACATTAATATTGATACCTTAATATGATACATTAATATCATACATCAATATCAAACATTAATATGATACATTAATATTGATACCTTAATATGATACATTAATATCATACATCAATATCAAACATTAATATGATACATTAATATTGATACCTTAATATGATACATTAATATCATACATCAATATCAAACATTAATATGATACATTAATATTGATACCTTAATATGATACATTAATATCATACATCAATATCAAACATTAATATGATACATTAATATTGATACCTTAATATGATACATTAATATCATACATCAATATCAAACATTAATATGATACATTAATATTGATACCTTAATATGATACATTAATATCATACATCAATATCAAACATTAATATGATACATTAATATTGATACCTTAATATGATACATTAATATCATACATCAATATCAAACATTAAAATCATACATCAATATTATACATCAATATCAAACATTAATATGATACATTAATATTGATACATTAATATGATACATCAATATGATACATCAATATCATACATTAATATCATACATCAATATGATGCATCAATATCATACATTAAAACCACACATCAATATTATACATCAATATTATACATTAATATCATGTATTAATATCATCTATCAATATCATATATCAGTATCATATATCAATATCATATATCAGTATCATATATCAATATCATATATCAACATCATACATCAATATCATATATCAATATCATACATCAATATCATGTATCAATATCATATAACACCATCATAGTATCAATACCGAGTACCTAATACCTGATACAACATCAAGTCACCAGTCAGCAATCATTAGTATCAACATCACCATCACAAATGTAACTTGACTAAGAATGCTTGTAATTAAGAACAACAATGGCTATATAATATGACACCAATAAAGTATCAATACCCAGTATCTAATACGTGACACAACATCAAATCCCCAGTCAGCAACCACTAATGTCAACATCGCCATCACATATCAATACAAATGTAAATGCAAGAATTTGACTAAGAATGCTTATAATTAGCACTAACAATGCCTATCCGCTTAAAAACGATTCCAACACAATCAACTGACTTTCATATTACGCAAATCCCGTTTTGCAATTTTCTATTGACGCCTTAATACGTGCATCGAATTGAACGATAATAAAACATATCGCCTTTCAAATTGTCACACAAACGAGAACAGGAAAATCCTGTGAAGTTGTGACACAAAGCGTCATAAAATGATTCGGAAATGAGTCGGGTTCAAGGAAGGCGCCTGCTATCAGCAGCGATCGATAATTTCGACAAATGTAAAATTATTGCGTGGCCGCACGTGTGGCCCGATATCAAACAGCCAATTTACCGGTTGTACCGAAGGAAAAGCCTTGTAAGTGTCCCTTGCTCTTTTCTAATCATATTAGCATATCTAGGTGAACCATGCTCTCTCTCAGGAGTGATTGTACAGATCTACACGCGCGGCACCAGAGGCCATTTCCTTTTATCGTTCTTGCAGACAGAGCGACAAATGTCGTGTAACTGCCACGCGGATATGCGAACTGTCGTAAGCTCTCCCACTCGTTTCTGCTGTACGATAATACAGTTATTGTTAGATAAAAAATCGTTACAGAAGATATAATGACTGATAGGACTAACAGGATAACACTGACACGATATTAATACTCCGTGTTAACAATTACCTCTAAATTCGATATACATCGGTTAATGTCCCTAACACCAAAAATCGGCGCCTAGGAGTGCCTGTTAAAATAAAAATATCAGCAGCTATCGAACGATCCATCAATTCAGAAACCGTTGAAATCCATAAATCCTTCCTATCAGAACAATTAATCAAAAGCGGTTCATAATTTTTTAGAATTGAAACAAATGGTCCGAATGTGCTAATCAACCAGCAAAATTACGTCAGGAATCGCACTCACGGTGCCATTTTGGTCGCTCGATTTCGACATTCCTCCTTTCGATCCTTGAAGGATAAAAGGAGCTACCGCAGCAGGAGGGCGGTCGAAATTACAGAGACAAGGCGTCTCGTTGAATCATTGAAAAGAAAAAAAGAGGAAGAACGGGCAGTTTCGAGCGTGCGCGACGCGAAAGTACCGAGAAACCGTGACTTTTTGCGCTCGATGTCGTATTATGTAACCTGTCCTTTCGATCTACCAGGAACCTTTATTTCTCCTCCGCCACCGACATCTGGCAAGCAGATCGTCCGTAACTCTTCTCCTTCTAACGGCGGTTAATTGAAAGATCGTATATCTACGTGCATCGTAACAGGAGAGATGCTACAGGAGATTAGCGTGTTCTATGGACCTGCATTTTTATTTATTGATAGAAACTTAGCACTTTCTTTAGGTTGGATAGTCATCCTTTGGAGTGGAGGATCATAAACGGCCATTCTTAAGGTCCACTGCTTATGGAGACATGGTACATTGTTAACCTAACTCGAAACATAACAGGTTCTGAGGATTACAGACACTTATTATTTGCGATTCACTGTAAGTTAGGAATCATACACTGCTGAGGACTTATGTGGTCATAGGGTATATGGCCAGAGGGTGCATAGCCATAGGACAGTCATGCGGTACATAGCCCTAGGACAGCCATAGGGTACATAGCTATAGGACAGCCATAGGCTACATAGCCAGAGTAGGGCAGCCATACGGTACATAGCCCTAGGACAGCCATAGGGTACATAGCTATAGGACAGCCATAGGCTACATAGCCAGAGGATACATAGCCATAGGACAGCCATAGGGTATATAGCCATAGCACAGCCATATGGTACATAGCTATAGGACAGCCATAGGCTACATAGCCAGAGGGTACATAGTCATAGGACAGCCATAGGGTACATAGCTATAGGACAGCCATATGGTACATAGCCAGAGGATACATAGGCATAAGACAGCCATAGTTGATCCAGCTATCACAAAAATGTTTCCAACACTTCACCCAAATTGCAACCTCTTCAGAAAGCAGAAAGTACACTGATGAAGTGCAGTCCAAAAACACTATGTACACATATAATAACTGTGGTTAGAGTTCATTTAGTGACCAGTAGTTTCAGTGGTTAGCTGAACCATTAGTTCTTAATCCATCACTAAGAACTGTGTACCAACGACAGCTACAGTCACCTATGAGGACCTAGTGTGGACTAAGTGACTATAGACGTCCCTGTACACTAAGTGCACCCGCTAGGACCATTAGTCCAGCTATTGGACTATGGTGACTAGGACTATTCACCCACTAAGGGATTGTAGCTAATCTCGTGTAGACATAAAGGATTATGTCGCCACGTTGACACGTCTTACAAGCTTTACAAGAAAAGCAGTGGCAGCAGATTTACATAAGTCCTGTATCGGCTGGACAATTGAATTTTGAAATCGCACCACACCCACACGATCACCCGCTAGGCGCCACCTTGAACCCCGGACAGTACCGCATGATTAACGACACGAGGCATTCTAATTGGCCTTCGTCATGGAATAAAAGCGGAGCATTCCTCGATTGAAGGTGGCTATGATCCGAAATATGAAGCTAACGGTGACAATGGACCGGAGGTAGTGAGGGGAGGTTGTGAAATTGGGAGGATGGCGAAAAATATGCGTCCGATGAAGAGATAAGCTACACCATTTTGTGGGTCAGTCATGAAAGGTTTTGGGTGATGAAGTGGGTCGGGTGAAGTTGAGTGGGGCGTGAAGGTGTATGCTTACATACTATAAAGGGTGCTTTATACACATTCACACACCTGCGCAAGCTTCTTGACGTATAAAAAGTACTTTTTAATTATAAATCATTAGCGATCGAAGATTAAGATCGAACAACTGGTTGCAGCCTTATGCTACCGCCAGCACGCTTTTCCTTTATCTCGCTGAACCAAACTATAAAAACACGATAGAAAATTCTTCGCTACCATTAGAGGAACTTATTTATAATCGACGATTTCACAGGAGGGACCCGTTCTCAGGACTTTTACTCGCAGTTTCGTTGCTCGGTAGCTCAGCAACAAAACGTTCCAGTTTCGATAAAAGGACGTTGAGCAACCGATAATGACCGCGACCAAGTTAGTATAGCACGGCTACCTGAGAACAATCGTATGCGTGCAATTTTCTGTTGTCTCAACGTCCTATGGACACGTAATCCCTTGGAACGTTGCAATATCGACTGTCATGTACGGTGATGGGAATAAAAAGTAACACATTTTTGGTTTTATTTAATTTCTTAATATTCCTGCTGCTATATTTTTACATTTCAGTTATTATAACTAACGTACAATAATTAGGGAATGTATTAAAGGTCATAAAGAAAATTACCATTCTTGCTATAATTATAAAAAAAGTTTATTAAAAATATTATACAATATTTTATAACTTTTATATGCTTGTAAGCAATATCTCTGTAAATTGTGATCAATAAAAAACGTAATATACATACTAGATTTATGGACAACGATCATAAATACAGATTTGAAAACTTATTATTCATTAGCATAAGCTGTATAGTACCAGATCTTTTATACTAATCTTTAGCCTACCTATTTTTTACATCAACAATGACCTGCAAAATTGAAACCATCGTTTATATCAGTGTTATGCGAATGGACATTAAACTACCAGTTTACACTCACTTTTCCTGGAGATTTCTTATTGAGAATAAATTCCACCGCGTCGTTTACCTTAGACAATTCGACGGTTAATACGGTTGTTGGTTTAATCAGACCTTCCTCAAAAAAATCTAGAATATCATCCCCTGCTTGTCTGATATAGAACACATAGACATTAAAAGATTTAAATATAATCTAAACTGTATCCCACAAATTTGGGCTAATTTAATAAAAAATATTGTACCTATATGTTTCAGGTTTTTTCTTTCTATAGTCTCTTAAATTAAATCCAGTAACACTGAAACCACCCTCCTCATCCTTGGACTCATTGTTTGTTGAAATTGCAGCTGTGCCAGCAATTATTGCCCTACCTATATGACAAAAGCGTTACACAGTTGGTCCTACTCCAAATTGCAACTAACTCAATAATAATTCTGTACCTTCACGAGAAAGATGATGTAATACTACAGCAAAACTATCATCGCGTAATAAATCTTTTATTGTAGCATCAGATTTGTAGACATTTGTGAAGCTAAAAGTACAACAGAACTGCTGCTACTTTATGTTTGTATTTATCATTTTCAGTTTGGTCAGAGAGACTTACCACGTTAGGATCTTTTTAAAATATTCACCATCAGCATCTTCAAAAATAGCTTTAATATCTTTTTCAGCAGCTGCTTCCTCCATTTGTTTTAACAATGTTCGATCTTTAAATTTGAAAGAGGCTAGCACACCTTTTTCCCTAGCAAGTGCTGCCCCATCTTCAGTAGCACAAACACTTATTACCTGAATAAACAATTGCCTAATTGATAACATGACACCATGACATTTGAGAGTCAGAGAAAACTAAACTAACCTGAGCTTTGAAAACATTTGTTGCAAGATCAACTGCTGCCAAGCCGACACTACTTCCACCAACATTAACAAACATGATATCATCTTCTTGGATACTAACTTTTCTTTCTAAAGCAATTAAAGCAGTAACATAATCATCAAGTAGTCCTACTGCATCTACTGATTTCATTTCAGATGGTATTTTCCAAACATCCTACAAATTTAACTTATAGTTTGATGCAACCGCACAGATGACTAAATGTATGAAACCTTACATCAATTTCTGCTATACATTGTTCAGCTAAACCTCCATAACGATCTTTGTTAAGAGCAATAACCTTATCCCCAACTTTATAGCCTTGCTTTTCTGCTTCTGGACCAACTTGAACCAATTTCCCAACAAGTTCATAACCAAGAACCATTGGTAAAGTTGGTTCGAATGTATATAAATTTTTAGATAATAAAGCATCTGACGCATTTACAGCACAATAATTAACATCTATAAGAACCTGTCAATGGAAACGATGCTGTCTTTTTATCAAATTTATTGAAAATTACTTCATATGTTCGCTACCACACAAATGTAAAAAAGTTTTATCAAGTATAAGTAATATATTAAAATGTTTTATATTCCCTATTCGCTTTATTACAGACATTACATATTATATTTATAGCAGTTAACTGGTTAGTCATATAGGCTTAAATTATTATAAATTAAAAAATTACAAGTAATAAAAAATTCACAGTGTTGGAACTTAAATGAGTTGTTAAATTATTAATTTTTAAGCGACACACTTACTTCATTTGTTTGTAACGTCTTAGGGACTTCTAACTTTTCTATAACAATTGAATCGGAGAATTTTTTTAACACGGCCGCAAGTGTTTTGCCTGCTTCAGAAGCCGGTACTCCTTTTGTATTATCTTCTAGGTTAGCTGCCTTTTCATTAGTGGCGGAGCTGAACCTCGATATTGTTGTACGCATTAACACTTTCTTCAAATGATTATCGCAAAAATGCGTTAAAATTCTTCTTCCTGCCACGACCGACATTATTTTTGTGCAACAATTATTACCCCAAACACAAAAATAATAAAATCGCGAACATTGACACGGAATCCATATGTCAAATCACATCGCGCATGCGCGCCACTAGCTCGATATCGAATTTCAAAAATTTAAATATCGATGAACATACGATCGAAGTTGAACGTTAATATATCGATATTTTAAAACCGCGAAGAGCAGATCCGTTATTCGCAGTTCGTTGCTTCGGTTCGGTTTAAAATAGTGCGTGGTGTAATTAATAGTGTAGTGAAAGTGTTTTGTTATACTCCTGCAAATTGGGAAATAACGTGGATAAAGCTGTAAACTACTCGCAGACATCAGTTATAAAAGGTAAGTGGAAAAGAATTTAATTTGATATATTCGCCATAATTTAAATACGGTGTGCACTTTGTTCAAAAAACATGGTTGACATTTTTATTTATTTTATCAAGTAAAAGCGGTATTATTGAAATATTTATTTAATAATTATATTCTTTGTTATGACTAGAATTATATACTACAATTTAAATATACTAGCAGAGATATATAAAAGTAGATACAAAATATAATATTTTAATATAGAATAAACTTACCAATTTTCCGGTGTGCGAAATATCCTTTCGAGAAAATTCCCGTGGCTATTAAAGGAGATGTAGACTTTTTCAGTGAAATCGTTGTAGAATCCATAGTAAAAAATCTACTATGAAATAGAGGAAAACGAAAATGAATTAAAATTAAATAAAACATATATAAATTTTGAAAAATAATTGACAAATATAAATGAAATTGTAAAATTTCGCAATATGACGCAACCTCGCAGCACGATATTTAAAAAATTCGTAAAGTCATAACAAAGAAGTAAAATTAATTTAAAAATGTATTTATTTTACGAACAGTCACTGAGTTTTAATATTTATTCGATATACCTATTAAACGGATCAATATGGTGCACTTTCAATTCACTCGATTTATTCACAAATTTTATTAACGCATGTAATTAATAATCGATTTAGAGATTTATGATTAACTCGATGTGTGTTTGAAAACCGACTATAATCACACAAGCATGTTTCCTCTCTGAGGTTCAAAATAAGAATGCATCGTTTGACTTTTGATTCTTCGAGCCTCCCCCACCGCTACTACATTCATTTTTTTTTTTTTTTGAGCTTCCACGTTGACCCAGCCAGATCGTTTAATGTTGCTCGTTCCTAAATTACAATTATGTTGTAATTAAGATTTACATATAAAAAAACTGTGAGAAGGGTAAAATGATAGAGTACACAGCATCTGAACTTTATTTATTGGGTTAATACATCTTTGCAACTGATACGTCTCTTGTTTTGTTCAATGATTATATAATAATATTGTACAGTAAAGAATACACAATAATTCAATGTCTGTAAACAACCATGAAAAATTAAGTACAACATTTATACAGTATATGGAAAATATTCATGGAAAATTTTCTCTGTTAGTTTTGTTAAAATAGAAACATAAAAACTATAGTATTTATATACTGATCATATAATAAATAATTTATGAGTCGAACAGAATGATACTTGCCAAGGTATCATTAGCACAAATGATGACATTGTAAATTTGATTAAATTTATTCGTTGACAATATTAATCCATGCATTAAACAGTATGACCAGCCTTATCCATTACTATCACAAAACAGTTACATCATGAAATTGTTAGTTTATTGCTTAAAATAATCATATCGTAGATACTAAATTTGATTGACCAGATTAAAATTAAAAAATAAGGCGACGAGTATGACTAGTATTAAATTACAATCTTGTATTATAAAAGTAGTAAACCTATTTAACGCTTGGTGTGTTAGTTCAAATAAAACTAAATAATGTTAGAATATATTTAGGCTGCTTTGATCCGACTTATGATTCATACATGAAATGAAAGGAAGTAGCAATGAAAAAAGCGTTTACGTTAATGAGATATGCTATCATAAATACTCTAGTTCCGGTAGAAACATGAAAAGTTCTGTAAAAACGTTCACAGTGCCTTATTCACAATGCACATTTCAATTATAATGATTATAACGTTGAATCTATAACAGACTAAGTTAACAGCTTTGATACCTTGAATCCAACACATCTAACGCTCTTCACCTTACAGAAACTTGATTAATACTAGAAAAAAAGTTATTTCGCTGAAAGGCATATACAACGTAAGCAATACAAAGCATTGTGTAAATATAAAGATTTGTATAAATATTTAACAATTGTGAACTCTTAAAAAGAAGTAAAATATTTTTATGTAACATCAGAGAAACTGATAAATAACGGAGGAATTAATTACATATAAAGAAACACAGAATAAGCAAAATAAATATGAAATTAAAAGATCTCAAAACAATTTGTTGGAAAAATTAACAGACACAAAAAATTTGTGTCTTGTTTATACAATCACCACCTTTGCAATTTGATGATATCACTTGATTAAGACTGCGGTATCAATCATTATTTTTTAATTAAAAAATCTACCTACATCACATATAATAAACAATACGAACACTTGTTCCCTTCCTCGCAAAAGTCATCAAGTGAAAATGCCAGGTCGAAGCATTCTTCATTGGTAGCAATAGCTGGATTATAGAACACATACGTTGACATAAATTCGTCTATAAATTTGTTTTTGTCTTTTTTTTTTTAAACATATCAAACAGTATACTGTGCATTCACGTCCATAATACTGTGAATGAGATTTTCATCTTAATCCTACGCAGAATATTAGGATATTACTGCAGTGGTACTACACACTTCGTTGTTAAGTGTACAAGTTTAGTACAAAAGTTCGATTACAAACGTTAGAAAAAACTATTGTTATTTTTTTCACCTTCGCTTAAAACTGAAATCTTAGTAGTAAACCTATACTCTGGAATGCTGTATCAATAATACTTCTAATTTGACATCGATGTATATCAAAAGTCGTTCCGCGTGGATACGTTTCTTTCGATTATTGTGCAAAATTCAGTTCAATGTTTGATAAGAATTAAAAAGGAAGTACAATTTAAATTTAAAAAACGTTAAAACGTCATATAAATTGAAGTCGTTTAAAGTTATTTAAAGAATACATCATTATTTTTACAGGATTTACCAATTTAACAACTTTAATATCAATGAATTCGTGGGGTTAATAAATTAAAGTGCACATCGTCATTTATAAAATTGTTAAGCAAACGATAACTATGTCTGTTTCTTGAAACATTCTTGGTATAATATTTATCCAAAAATCGTATCTACTGAATACTTTCATCGTTACATGAAATCTACCTGAATTGGAACAAAATGAAAGATTAACATAGAACTTGAAGTTACCTATTCTTGCATCTATAGCAGAATTAAAAATTAATTAAAATTTTCGTACGAAAAATCGAAACTAGTTCTTGAAATATTTCAACCATTATTTAGTAATTATTTAGTAATTTATCTTACAAGTCTTACGAAGTATAAAACTGTACCATATTACTATAAAATCTGTGAAGAATTGACTAAATACAAGAAAACTATGAAAAAAATTTAACTTTGTTCAATTCAATTAATTCCAACACGATTTAAGATTAAAGACTAGTTCAACTTAAATTCTGTCTAAAGATTCAATCCTTTCACCATTTGAAGCTATTTTACATTTTTTCTGCGATTGATTGTACATTGTTTGCAGAGGTACATGAAGCAATTCCACAATTTCTATAAAATTAGGCTCTGTAATGGACAGAATAAAAGATTTATGATAGATCTAAATTATGTGACAATTGTGATACACTACAAACAGGGATATACTTACCATTTTCTGCTGTAATGTATCCATGTCTAATTAAAAAGTCAAGAGCAACTGGTACAGATGTTGTTTTGAAATGTGAAGATAATATCCTTTCTACACATTCATTAACTGGAAGCAATTCAAAAGTTTCTACTTCTCCATCATTATTACTTGGTATAAAATCTGGTGGTAGCTCAAGGTCGTATACAAATTCTGTATTGGGAAACAATCCTCTTTCACTTTCAAAAAACAGAGACACGCAACCAACACTTTTCAATTTAGCAATTAAATTATTGGGAATACTGGCTTCTTCTCCAGCCTCTTTTATTGCAGTTTCATTAATTCCATAACCAACACTTAATCCACCGCTCACCATATTATCCCAATATCCAGGCCAAGTCTGCTTGTTTGGACTACGTTTTTGTAACCATATTGATAACCCTTTCACAGGATCCATAACATATCCATTAATATCTACCCCATATTTACGAATTCCAAATAAGCCTACAAAATGATTAATGTCTGGCAACATGTTTCTAACAAAGCAAAATATGACTAGAATACATACATGTGGCAGATCTATCCATTTTGAATAATGGTGGAGTGTTGAACTGTGCACGTACTTCGTAACATTCTTCCCGCCATCCTCTGAGAGTTACAAATTTCTCACCTGCACGCCATTCTCTTAAAACTTCTTCAACACGAGCACTTCTCTCTGCATAGTCTCGAAATGCTGGATTTAGTTGCACATATTCAGGGTGTACTTGAAATACCTATGAAAATGTAGTTAACATAGAGACATTTCTTGATTATTTATAGTTATAAGAATTAATTTGGAACTACCTGAGGATAATTTAACAGTTCTTTCATAACATCTGGACGTACAAGGCCAACTTGTTGTCCATCGACAACAAAAGCCCTGCATTCACCTGCATGGAAACCTGAAGAATTTGATACATTTATAGATGTCACCTCTACTGAATAAATCTAATAATAAATTATAATATACATACTTTATTTATATGTTATAATGTATTACAAAATACAGGATAAACATATATATAGTAAAACAAATATATAACACAAAAATATATTTTAATAATATTAAGTGTACAAATAATTAAGAATAATATAACACAAGGATTTTATAATTATTACAGATTGTGTTTCTCATACTTATTTCCAGCTTCTAAAAAGAAAACAAAAGCAACTGTCACACACAGTTATATGATACACATTCTTGACATCTGCTTCAGCAAACATACATATAGCATTGATCTACTCAAAATACATAATATAAAAAAAAGGAATAGATCAGATACAGAATCAAAGGATCACAGCAAGTAGCTTTAGAAAATTCATAGATTTTCCCATAAAATATAGAGAACTTTTTGTTATTTTACGAGAAATACAAGAAAGAATACACAACAGACTCCAAATCAATATCTCAGTAGACAGGACAGAAAGCCACGCGTTTCTGTGCACTATTCGATGCAAAATCAAGCAGACGGCACATACGGGAGTACGGCACGCAATTCATCGAGCGATTTTACTTACCTGACAGGTAGAAGCAATTAAATTTATTAGCGAGCTTCAATAAGCGTGACATCGGTTTCTTATCACTGTCCGTCATGATGTTTCGCTGTCGTTAACCAGCTGTGACAAAAAATGTTAGCATAGAGTATAGAGCTGTGTCAGAAGCGAGCTTCACGAAATTTCTGCGCACCGAGCTACAGTTATAGACTGAAATTGCTACACGATTGGTCCGAAACTTGTTTTACTCCTTTCTATTTTTTTTTGTAGATTCAGCGATAAGATACACGAATTTATTATTTGTACAACTGATAAACTGCGATAGTTTTGCTCTATCAATTGCGGTTATTTTAACAGGTGATACAATTTATTACTTAAGATAATTTGATAGTTATATTCTTCAAACATTGTGTATTGATAATTTCATGTATCAAATATTATGATAAACTGGAAATAACCTCTTTTTTGAAGATTACTCAAAAACATTTTTGACTGCTCCAAAATTAGATGTATATTCTAATCAAACCTAATCTGACCCAACCTAACTTAACCATAACCTAAAATTATTGATTAATAAAGCAATAAGATGCAAACAAATAATTGTTTATAAATCATGGCAATTCTGCAAAATGATTTTATTATATTTAAATTATGTTTGAACATTTTGGAGGATCTCTTGCTTATCTTACAAGCACTGTACTAAAACATGCTCAAAACTTCCAGTAGATGGTACTGAAGCGCTCTGTTTACTACAAAAAAGAGCCGTGTGTTTATAAGTGTTGTGACAATAATTATTAACAATGAAGCTAAAGAAGGCAACTAAAAATGTTGGCAACCCATTGGAATCCTCTGAATCCGAGTCAGAATACAATAGCTCAGACGAAGAAGTAAATACCACCTAAACTTATAAGATATTCAAAACATAACCTTTTTCTAACCTAACTTTTTTCACGTGTGCAGCTAAGAGAGGCGTATGCAAAAGGTTTATTAAAACCTGGTCTCAATGTGGTGGTGGAGGAAACGAAAAAGATTCACAGAAATTGTGTTGTAAGTACAATAATGTCACAATTTATTTTGTGAGTATCATGTTTGAAATCATTTTCAGAATCTGATGAAAGAGAAGTTAGATAGTATCAAATTGAACTTGCCATGGGTAGAGAGATTAGATTTGACCAATGCACCGGCACCTCTGGCACCAGAGCTGGCGTTGCAAATGCAAGAACAGGAAGTGAGACGCGCGAAACAGTTGCAGGGAAATAAAAAGTTACCTCAGTATGATCCGGCAGAGGATCCTGTCCTAAATGACTTCCGCAGGGAAACAATGTTTCATAGACAAGCACAGGGTGCAGTTATGGATGGTATCACACGGCTGAAGAAGCTTGGAATTCCAACAACTAGGCCAGAAGACTATTTTGCAGAAATGGCCAAATCTGATGAACACATGCAGAAGGTTAGACAAAACCTGATGAGAAAACAGATAGTAACGCAAAGAACAGAGAAGATACGACAAATGAGGCAGCAAAGGAAAGTGAGCAAACAGATGCAGATAGAAGCAACTCTAAAGAAACACGAGGAGAAGAGGAAATTAATGGAAGAAGTTAAAAAGTATCGCAAGGGTATAAGACAAGATCTGGATTTCCTAGATGACAAAAAGAAACCACAAAAGAAGGGGCTGAATCCGAAGACAGCAGCAAAGCGAAAGATGAAGGATGCCAAGTATGGTTACGGTGGAAAGAAGCGAGACAGCAAGAAAAACACAAAAAGCAGCTCTGCAGATGTTTCAGAATATAGAAGGCCCGCAAAGCCAGGGAAAGGTTTGAAAAAGGGTGGAAAGACCAAGCAGAGATTAGGGAAGAGCCGTAGGATACAGATGAAAGCAAAGAGGAAATGACAGCGTGCATAATTTATAGCTTACTTTATTGATAGACCTAATTAACGCGTTTTGTACGACTCAGCGGGTGTGCATTTGTAAAATAAATCGTTCGCAGGAATAAATGAACCGTTATTTTCATCCGTTGCTATTTCTTACTTCCTTTTTTCCGTCGCCAATGTCCTGGATCCGACGAACAATTGCGAACGGTCTCAACAAAAGAATTTTGTCGCATGTGTAACTATGTTCAAACGCATTCAAACGTGTACTCGCAGCTAAGATTACGTAAAAGCAAAGGCGTACCAGAGAGCGAGGAAATATTTTTCCATTTCAGAGACCTTTTTCAACTTAGCTAACACTGTTTCGTGTTCAATCAGACGCGAATTGCTCCGTCATCGATATGGCGATGCAGCACAATTCTACCACACGCTTGGAAAAATATACGGTGGTCCAACTGAAACGACGTCGACTATTGTGCTTCTTATCATTCGCACCTCTCGCGAACTCTTAAAAGGAAATTCTTTTCTGCTGCGTCTGATAGTTGCAGTATTTTTTCGCATACGATCGTTATCTCTTAGATATTTTTTGTTTCAAGCTTTTTGATATCTCTTTTCTTCGATACAATAATCCCGTTATTTTTCTTTCAATTGCTTTTAGAAACTACTTCGTGTAACATGACACATAAGGCGATTCAGTTCAGCAGAACTCACACATTAAAAAGTTTTATCGGTACAAAGGAATGATAAAGTATTATAATTTCCTAGCGACAGGCCACCCAATGCATGAATACGCAAGCAGCAAAACAAATTTGCAATCTGCTTGCAAAGACACGTTCAGAAGTCTGAGGTGTGTACACGAGAAAGGAAGACGAGGTGGAATCATCATTAACCGTACACCCTGGGGAATCAAGCAGCAATCGCTGAAGGAAAGGGGCCGTGTACACTATACACATATATTTCCACGCGGAAGCAAACGTGGACGTGCATGTAATATGCGGTGTAATCGCATTTCCATGCATGTAACGAGCCCTGTAGATATAGCGGATTGTCTAATGGATGACACACGTTTAGTATTCCTACTGTACCCCGTGCCGATAGGGAGATCATTCTGATCCGCATTGACCATAATCGCTTCATTTTTATATTCTACAATTTTTAACTATTCAGTTGTGCATAATCGTGTTGGCGTTTGATAGATAATATTGCAAATTCACTTTGTGAATTAACTGTGCAATTTCCACCCTGTTATTTGCATATTTTGAACGTTTCTTGCTTTGTTCATTATATTAGGATTCAAATAAAGGATAAGCCTTTAAGTATTGTTAAAACGTCAAATTTTTAAGATGTCAAAGTTTCCTTCGGACATCGAAAATGATGAGATTTTGTTAAAATGATTATTTTAACCATTTTCATAAAATGTCCTAACAATGTGGCTTTCAGTCTTCATGATGAGGTTATGACATTTTCTGCAAGCAGATATTATAATTTGTCTCGTGTACTTTGTAAGATCATAACGTCGTCTGTAATTTTCGTGAAGAAATTTTGTAAGTCAATTAACAGTTAAGAGCGTATTCTAAAGGAGGCCGAAAATTGCCATGAAACAGATGCGATCGATTTTACTGGCTCAGCATATCGGTACACCTGTATACGCGTGATCAACGATACGATGGATCCTCGAAGAGAGCTGTGATGGTCAGCAGAATATGGGATAACACGCGTGATTGGGTTCCGAGTGTATACTTGTTATTTGGTGAGTGGAAACACCGCCAATCGAGCCGCATGCATAAAGCCCCGGCCATTCGTGTTCACCCGCGCGCATACACGACCGTGTATACATATTTTTTTTTTTACAATAGCCTCGGGTTATTGTATTTAAATCCACGAGCACTCTCGCACTGTCCGGCACAGACACGAGAGAGCCCTGGGAATCTGCCCTTCAGGTAACAGCTGTTTCAGAGAGAACCCTGGACGAGCTTTCCACATTTTTAGCCCCGCTACAATTTTCCCAATTACTAGAGTGTCAGGGGTTCGTGTGAGACCTTCATTTCCTTTGTACCGGAGTGTCGGGTACGGAAGAACTATTTGCTTGGACGTCGGAAAAAATTAATTATATATTTATTGGAAATTAAGGTTAACTTTAATGAGGATTTAATTTAGAGGCTAACTTTAATAATTTAGAGGTTAACTTCAATAATTTAGAGATTAACTTCAATAATTTAGTGGTTAACTTCAATAATTTAGAGATTAACTTTAATAATTTAGAGGTTAACTTTAATGAGTAACACACTTCTTATAAGATGTGAAAATGAAGCATGTAACGTCGTAAAAAATTAATTATATATTTATTGAAGATAAACTTTAATAACGATGTAATTTAGAGGTTAGCTTTTAAAATTTAGAGGTTAACTTTTAAAATTTAGAGATTAACTTTAATAACTTAGAGATTAACTTTAATAGGTAACATTCTTCTTATAAGATGTGAGAATGAAGCATGTAACGTAGGTGAAACGTTTCTAACCTCAACAGGCATAGTTGTTTAATTGATCAACTAACCAATTAAGACATCTCTATCATTGACGACCAATGATCCGTGACGTGAACACGGTCTGCTTGAATGATCAGTAACTAGCAAGCAAAGTCCCTGGATATTGTTTGATCCCTGATGAAGCTAACTGAGACGCTGACGAAATGACGGGATACTCGTCCTTTCGGACGTGACCCACATTCAGAAGTTTCGGTACCAACAGTCCATTAATTTTTAACCGAATCCGTCTGGACGTTTGCTAATACGATATTTTTATCTTGACACAGTTCGCAACTGAAATTGACGTCGTGTCTATAATCAAATATTAAACACAAAATGGCCGAATGGTAGGAACTTTTAGACAGAGGCGGAATTGTGTTCCATGAAATTGGCCAGTTTTTGGGTGACCAATTTACAGCGTTAACACGACCCGGACCAAATAGTCGATGGTATTTATATTGTAGTTCGAACACGTGCTGTACAATTCTACGCAGACGGAACCGGGCTTTTTTTTCATCACGCGTGTGAATTCGCCGGTCGGCGGGAGTATGGACAGGTATCTCTCGCAGATATTTGTATTGATGACAACCACCGTGCGACACGTATCCTCTGTCGGCTGCTAATGGGTGAAATTTGTTTCGCTATTGCCGTCGGGCGATTTTGTCCGATTTCGAATCTCGCGAAATTTCGCCGCGGATACACGCGTTGAGTGGAAGCCGACACTGCGATCATACATCCATCTCAATTATTTTGGTTAAACGAGATGCTCTTGTTTGCTTTTCGGAAGTCGGGGCTAAGTTAAATTAAGTCGGGGTGAGGAAATGTGGACGGTGGACAAATTGGATTGATGTAGTGCCATGAACGCGTGTTATATCGCCATTGTACGTCCATGCGTTACATTGTCCACTTCATAAGCATAATACACTTTCAAAGCGTAGGGTTACAGTGAACGTAGATTCTGGCGAATTGGCAGGAAGGAGGTCTGCACAGTGACGTAACTAGTTAGGGATCAAAAATATGCTTTTAAATCTGATCGTACCGTGACGGAACCACGCGTGGAAATACAACGCGTGGACATAGGGCGCGTGGAGGTATGGCGCGTGACAGTATCACGCATAGAAATACAGCGCGTGACGGTATCATGCGTGGATATTTCACGCGCGGTAATTCCACTCTTGGTTATCTCCACGCGTGGTAATTCCACGCTTGGTATTTCCACGCGTGGTAATTCAACGCTTGGTTATCTCTACGCGTAGTATTTCCACGCGTAGTAATTTCACGCTTGGGAATTCCACCCTTGGTATTTCCACGCGTGGTAATTCCAAGCTTGATATCTCGACGCGTGGTAAATCCAAGCTTGATATCTTTACGCGTGGTAATTCCAAGCTTGATATCTCTACGCTTGGTATCTCTACGCGTGATAATTCCACCCTTGGTATTTCCACGCGTAGTATTTCCACGCGTGGTAATTCCACGCTTGGTTATCTCTACGCGTAATATTTCCACGCGTAGTAATTTGACACGTGGGAATTTCACCCTTGGTATCTCCACGCGTAGTATTTCCACGCGTGGTAAATCCAAGCTTGATATCTCTACGCGTGGTAATTCCACGCTTGGTATCTCTACGCGTGGTAATTCCACGCTTGGTATCTCTACGCGTGGTAATTCCACCCTTGGTATCTCCCTGCGCGATGATTCTACGCACAGTATTTCCACGCGTCCTATATCCGCGCATGATACCGTCACGCGTCGCATCTCGACGCGCCGTATTTCCCCACGTTGTACCGTCACGTGCCACATTTCCACATGTGGTACCATTACGCGCCGTATTTCTACGCATTGTATTTCCACGCGTCTTCATATTTTAGTGCATTGATTGACTCATTTAATGAGTAAGAATTGTATATTTTTAGATGACGGAAGTGTTAAGATAAAAATGTAGGTTACGCCAATGGGCGCTACAGTATTCCCGAGCAACTTTTCCAGGAAGCATAAAATCGTGCGTTCAACAGCACGTTGTTGGCACGTGGCTGGCGGTAGGCTGCATCGAATAATACAGTCGTTCGTAGACGAGATAGTTAGCCATTGGTTACTTCTGCGTTCACCCTCGCAGCCAGTGTGTTCCATAAAGCTCATGGTAAATCGACTGTGAGCCGTGCAGCAACCTCTCGTGTTGTTGCACGTACGTGGAACGCAGCCTGTTGGGGATGGGGATGAATGGGGTTTTGGGGAGTGGCGAGAGAGGACGGTCAGGGAGGATGGGAAACCATTATTGAAATGCAGTAAATGGCCGTGAGTTTCAATTGCCCCTGGGTGCTTCCAGCATGCCGTAGGAAAGAGAACCACCCCTCCGTCCCCCGCCGTACCCCGCTCCTGATCCCGCACGAAACCAGCCTTCTACTAGATGGAAGGGAATTACGAGAATTCGCAATGATTCGCTCTCTGTCGGCGCACGAAAACACGCAGCAGCATCGACTGATCGGCCTACGAGCCGTTCGCCTTCGATGGATCGACTATTAGGTGGAGGGAGAACTATTGCTTTTGCTGAGACTTCCTGTCTGCCCGGATGCTGGCGGGGATTCTATTTCGGTTGGGCTAGCTCTTTGTACTTGTATCGT